GTGCGGACACATGTCAGTTAAGCACAGGTTCTGGAGGTCATCTGGTATTGTCATGGGAGTGTGGTGTGGTGCAGACACGTGTCAGTTAAGCACAGGTTCTGGAGGTCATCTGGTATTGTCATGGGAGTGTGGTGTGGTGCGGACACGTGTCAGTTAAGCACAGGTTCTGGAGGTCATCTGGTATTGTCATGGGAGTGTGGTGTGGTGCGGACACGAGTCAGTTAAGCACAGGTTCTGGAGGTCATCTGGTATTGTCATGGGAGTGTGGTGTGGTGTGGACACGTGTCAGTTAAGCACAGGTTCTGGAGGTCATCTGGTATTGTCATGGGAGTGTGGTGTGGTGCGGACACGTGTCAGTTAAGCACAGGTTCTGGAGGTCATCTGGTATTGTCATGGGAGTGTGGTGTGGTGTGGACACGTGTCAGTTAAGCACAGGTTCTGGAGGTCATCTGGTATTGTCATGGGAGTGTGGTGTGGTGCGGACACGTGTCAGTTAAGCACAGGTTCTGGAGGTCATCTGGTATTGTCATGGGAGTGTGGTGTGGTGCGGACACGAGTCAGTTAAGCACAGGTTCTGGAGGTCATCTGGTATTGTCATGGGAGTGTGGTGTGGTGTGGACACGTGTCAGTTAAGCACAGGTTCTGGAGGTCATCTGGTATTGTCATGGGAGTGTGGTGTGGTGCGGACACGTGTCAGTTAAGCACAGGTTCTGGAGGTCATCTGGTATTGTCATGGGAGTGTGGTGTGGTGCGGACACGTGTCAGTTAAGCACAGGTTCTGGAGGTCATCTGGTATTGTCATGGGAGTGTGGTGTGGTGCGGACACGTGTCAGTTAAGCACAGGTTCTGGAGGTCATCTGGTATTGTCATGGGAGTGTGGTGTGGTGCAGACACGTGTCAGTTAAGCACAGGTTCTGGAGGTCATCTGGTATTGTCATGGGAGTGTGGTGTGGTGCGGACACGAGTCAGTTAAGGACAGGTTCTGGAGATCATCTGGTATTGTCATGGGAGTGTGGTGTGGTGCGGACACGTGTCAGTTAAGGACAGGTTCTGGAGGTCATCTGGTATTGTCATGGGAGTGTGGTGTGGTGTGGACACGTGTCAGTTAAGCACAGGTTCTGGAGGCCATCTGGTATTGTCATGGGAGTGTGGTGTGGTGTGGACACGTGTCGGTTAAGCACAGGTTCTGCAGGTCATCTGGTATTGTCATGGGAGTGTGGTGTGGTGCGGACACGTGTCAGTTAAGCACAGGTTCTGCAGGTCATCTGGTATTGTCATGGGAGTGTGGTGTGGTGTGGACACGTGTCAGTTAAGCACAGGTTCTGGAGGTCATCTGGTATTGTCATGGGAGTGTGGTGTGGTGCAGACACGTGTCAGTTAAGGACAGGTTCTGGAGGTCATCTGGTTTTGTCATGGGAGTGTGGTGTGGTGCGGACACGAGTCAGTTAAGCACAGGTTCTGGTATTGTCATGGGAGTGTGGTGTGGTGCGGACACGAGTCAGTTAAGCACAGGTTCTGGAGGTCATCTGGTATTGTCATGGGAGTGTGGTGTGGTGTGGACACGTGTCAGTTAAGCACAGGTTCTGGAGGTCATCTGGTATTGTCATGGGAGTGTGGTGTGGTGCAGACACGTGTCAGTTAAGGACAGGTTCTGGAGGTCATCTGGTTTTGTCATGGGAGTGTGGTGTGGTGTGGACACGTGTCAGTTAAGCACAGGTTCTGGAGGTCATCTGGTATTGTCATGGGAGTGTGGTGTGGTGCGGACACGAGTCAGTTAAGCACAGGTTCTGGAGGTCATCTGGTATTGTCATGGGAGTGTGGTGTGGTGCGGACACGAGTCAGTTAAGGACAGGTTCTGGAGATCATCTGGTATTGTCATGGGAGTGTGGTGTGGTGCGGACACGAGTCAGTTAAGCACAGGTTCTGGAGATCATCTGGTATTGTCATGGGAGTGTGGTGTGGTGCGGACACGAGTCAGTTAAGCACAGGTTCTGGAGGTCATCTGGTATTGTCATGGGAGTGTGGTGTGGTGTGGACACGTGTCAGTTAAGCACAGGTTCTGGAGGTCATCTGGTATTGTCATGGGAGTGTGGTGTGGTGCGGACACGAGTCAGTTAAGGACAGGTTCTGGAGATCATCTGGTATTGTCATGGGAGTGTGGTGTGGTGTGGACACGTGTCAGTTAAGCACAGGTTCTGGAGGTCATCTGGTATTGTCATGGGAGTGTGGTGTGGTGTGGACACGTGTCAGTTAAGCACAGGTTCTGGAGGTCATCTGGTATTGTCATGGGAGTGTGGTGTGGTGCGGACACGTGTCAGTTAAGCACAGGTTCTGGAGGTCATCTGGTATTGTCATGGGAGTGTGGTGTGGTGTTGAAACGTGTCAGTTAAGCACAGGTTCTGGAGGTCATCTGGTATTGTCATGGGAGTGTGGTGTGGTGTGGACACGTGTCAGTTAAGCACAGGTTCTGGAGGTCATCTGGTATTGTCATGGGAGTGTGGTGTGGTGCGGACACGAGTCAGTTAAGCACAGGTTCTGGAGGTCATCTGGTATTGTCATGGGAGTGTGGTGTGGTGCGGACACGTGTCAGTTAAGCACAGGTTCTGGAGGCCATCTGGTATTTTCATGGGAGTGTGGTGTGGTGCGGACACGTGTCAGTTAAGCACAGGTTCTGGAGGTCATCTGGTATTGTCATGGGAGTGTGGTGTGGTGCGGACACGTGTCAGTTAAGCACAGGTTCTGGAGGTCATCTGGTATTGTCATGGGAGTGTGGTGTGGTGCGGACACGTGTCAGTTAAGCACAGGTTCTGGAGGTCATCTGGTATTGTCATGGGAGTGTGGTGTGGTGCGGACACGAGTCAGTTAAGCACAGGTTCTGGAGGTCATCTGGTATTGTCATGGGAGTGTGGTGTGGTGCGGACACGTGTCAGTTAAGCACAGGTTCTGGAGGTCATCTGGTATTGTCATGGGAGTGTGGTGTGGTGCGGACACGAGTCAGTTAAGCACAGGTTCTGGAGGTCATCTGGTATTGTCATGGGAGTGTGGTGTGGTGCAGACACGTGTCAGTTAAGCACAGGTTCTGGAGGTCATCTGGTATTGTCATGGGAGCGTGGTGTGGTGCGGACACGTGTCAGTTAAGCACAGGTTCTGGAGGTCATCTGGTATTGTCATGGGAGTGTGGTGTGGTGCGGACACGTGTCAGTTAAGGACAGGTTCTGGAGGTCATCTGGTATTGTCATGGGAGTGTGGTGTGGTGTGGACACGTGTCAGTTAAGCACAGGTTCTGGAGGTCATCTGGTATTGTCATGGGAGTGTGGTGTGGTGCGGACACGTGTCAGTTAAGCACAGGTTCTGGAGGTCATCTGGTATTGTCATGGGAGTGTGGTGTGGTGCGGACACGTGTCAGTTAAGCACAGGTTCTGGAGGTCATCTGGTATTGTCATGGGAGTGTGGTGTGGTGCGGACACGTGTCAGTTAAGCACAGGTTCTGGTGGTCATCTGGTATTGTCATGGGAGTGTGGTGTGGTGCGGACACGTGTCAGTTAAGCACAGGTTCTGGACGTCATCTGGTATTGACATGGGAGTGTGGTGTGGTTTGGACACGTGTCAGTTAAGCACAGGTTCTGGAGGTCATCTGGTATTGACATGGGAGTGTGGTGTGGTTTGGACACGTGTCAGTTAAGCACAGGTTCTGGAGGTCATCTGGTATTGTCATGGGAGTGTGGTGTGGTGCGGACACGTGTCAGTTAAGCACAGGTTCTGGAGGTCATCTGGTATTGTCATGGGAGTGTGGTGTGGTGCGGACACGTGTCAGTTAAGCACAGGTTCTGGAGGTCATCTGGTATTGTCATGGGAGTGTGGTGTGGTGCAGACACGTGTCAGTTAAGCACAGGTTCTGGAGGTCATCTGGTATTGTCATGGGAGTGTGGTGTGGTGCGGACACGTGTCAGTTAAGCACAGGTTCTGGAGGTCATCTGGTATTGTCATGGGAGTGTGGTGTGGTTCGGACACGAGTCAGTTAAGCACAGGTTCTGGAGGTCATCTGGTATTGTCATGGGAGTGTGGTGTGGTTCGGACACGAGTCAGTTAAGCACAGGTTCTGGAGGTCATCTGGTATTGTCATGGGAGTGTGGTGTGGTGCGGACACGTGTCAGTTAAGCACAGGTTCTGGAGGTCATCTGGTATTGTCATGGGAGTGTGGTGTGGTTCGGACACGAGTCAGTTAAGCACAGGTTCTGGAGGTCATCTGGTATTGTCATGGGAGTGTGGTGTGGTGCGGACACGTGTCAGTTAAGCACAGGTTCTGGAGGTCATCTGGTATTGTCATGGGAGTGTGGTGTGGTTCGGACACGAGTCAGTTAAGCACAGGTTCTGGAGGTCATCTGGTATTGTCATGGGAGTGTGGTGTGGTGTGGACACGTGTCAGTTAAGCACAGGTTCTGGAGGTCATCCGGTATTGTCATGGGAGTGTGGTGTGGTGCGGACACGTGTCAGTTAAGCACAGGTTCTGGAGGTCATCTGGTATTGTCATGGGAGTGTGGTGTGGTGCGGACACGTGTCAGTTAAGCACAGGTTCTGGAGGTCATCTGGTATTGTCATGGGAGTGTGGTGTGGTGCGGACACGTGTCAGTTAAGCACAGGTTCTGGAGGTCATCTGGTATTGTCATGGGAGTGTGGTGTGGTTTGGACACGTGTCAGTTAAGCACAGGTTCTGGAGGTCATCTGGTATTGTCATGAGAGTGTGGTGTGGTGCGGACACGTGTCAGTTAAGCACAGGTTCTGGAGGTCATCTGGTATTGTCATGGGAGTGTGGTGTGGTGCAGACACGTGTCAGTTAAGCACAGGTTCTGGAGGTCATCTGGTATTGTCATGAGAGTGTGGTGTGGTGCGGACACGTGTCAGTTAAGCACAGGTTCTGGAGGTAATTTGGTATTGTCATGGGAGTGTGGTGTGGTGCGGACACGTGTCAGTTAAGCACAGGCCAGCGGCTGCAGGCTCACCTTTGTGGTTGAAGTCATATATGTACTCCGGACAGGCGGTGGACACCATCCTCCCAGGAAGACCCTCGGGCCAGCACACGATGCCATCCCACTCTGGCGAGCAGAAACCCTCTACAACACAGAGAGGATTGACATTTAGATGGACTGAACTTCAGCAATACAACAATAACCTCCTCCGCTAACTGAGCACAGAGCTATAGAGGAGGGAATGAGGACACATTTAGATGTGCTCTTCCTGAAGCACAATCTTCACTACTTTATCTGCTCAAGTGTCAAACACTGTGACAATGTACCGCTGTCTTTCGTTCAATGCACTGCTATCTTGTCTGCCCTTTACGTGCATGCACTTTTGTAGACTGAAGTCCACCCTAAATGACATTTATAATCTATCTTACTTCAGTAATCTGATGCACAAACCCATGCTATGTGGATCACGACTCGAGTGAAAAGGCAGTAGATGGAAGGATAATGAAATGCAATGTTTTGGTAAAATGCAGCAAAGTTTGACCACACTAGACGATGAAAGCTATTACGCGTCGTCCACTAGTGATCAGATCAACGACACCGCATGTTAATATCAGGTGTAAACAGGGCCTTGGAGACTTTCAGGAGTGAAGCGCCTTGCACACAACAATCACCAGGATTCATCTGTCTTCAGAAGTCCTACAGTATATCACTTTTTCGTGCATGCTATTACATTATACATTCAGTACATTTGGTTACAATTGAAAGGTCTCTTTGTTTGAGAGTATTACATTTAAGTACTGAGTAATATTAATTAACTACATGTACTTAGGGTTAGTTATATGTATACTACAGTAACTACATGTAACGTGTAACAACGACACTGTAAAATAAAGTGTTACCTGACATTATATCTACTTGAAATTAGATATGTAATAATCATATTAGACCATATCGCAACTTCAATAGCAGCAAATCTGAAGTACACAATAAGTACATTTTAATTCTACTATGTAAGTGTTTATTAGTTTAATTCCCCCTGTAGTCCCCTGTAGTCAATAATTGTATCCTTTAAAACTAATCTTTGATCACCAAAATGACATATTCAAAGGTTTTTCCTTGAAAAACTAATCTTCATGCCTTAAAATATCTTGAATGTAACTCGACACCCTTGCCTCATTTATTATGTGTGGTTCTATGAATATGCAAATGAGCCCCGCCTCCACTCACTCATTGCTGTAAACTCCAATGTATAAATACAACTACATACTGTATATATATAATAAATAAAAATAATAATAATAATATATATATATACACTCACCTAAAGGATTGATAGGAACACCTGTTCAATTTCTCATTAATGCAATTATCTAATCAACAAATCACATGGCAGTTGCTTCAATGCATTTAGGGGTGTGGTCCTGGTCAAGACAATCTCCTGAACTCCAAACTGAATGTCAGAATGGGAAAGAAAGGTGATTTAAGCAATTTTGAGCGTGGCATGGTTGTTGGTGCCAGACGGGCCGGTCTGAGTATTTCACAATCTGCTCAGTTACTGGGATTTTCACGCACAACCATTTCTAGGGTTTACAAAGAATGGTGTGAAAAGAGAAAAACATCCAGTATGCGGCAGTCCTGTGGGCGAAAATGCCTTGTTGATGCTAGAGGTCAGAGGAGAATGGGCCGACTGATTCAAGCTGATAGAAGAGCAACTTTGACTGAAATAACCACTCGCTACAACCGAGGTATGCAGCAAAGCATTTGTGAAGCCACAACACGCACAACCTTGAGGCGGATGGGCTACAACAGCAGAAGACTCCACCGGGTGCCACTCATCTCCACTACAAATAGGAAAAAGAGGCTACAATTTGCAAAAATGTTGCCTGGTCTGATGAGTCTCGATTTCTGTTGAGACATTCAGATGGTAGAGTCAGAATTTGGCGTAAACAGAATGAGAACATGGAACCATCATGCCTTGTTACCACTGTGCAGGCTGGTGGTGGTGGTGTAATGGTGTGGGGGGTGTTTTCTTGGCACACTTTAGGCCCCTTAGTGCCAATTGGGCATCGTTTAAATGCCACGGCCTACCTGAGCATTGTTTCTGACCATGTCCATCCCTTTATGGCCACCATGTACCCATCCTCTGATGGCTACTTCCAGCAGGATAATGCACCATGTCACAAAGCTCCAATCATTTCAAATTGGTTTCTTGAACATGACAATGAGTTCACTGTACTAAAATGGCCCCCACAGTCACCAGATCTCAACCCAATAGAGCATCTTTGGGATGTGGTGGAACGGGAGCTTCGTGCCCTGGATGTGCATCCCACAAATCTCCATCAACTGCAAGATGCTATCCTATCAATATGGGCCAACATTTCTAAAGAATGCTTTCAGCACCTTGTTGAATCAATGTCACGTAGAATTAAGGCAGTTCTGAAGGCGAAAGGGGGTCAAACACAATATTAGTATGGTGTTCCTAATAATCCTTTAGGTGAGTGTATATATACATATATATTCGTGCTGCCAGTAGCATCATAATGTGCTTGTCTGTATTGAGGCAAAAATGGTGGGAGGCTCAGTTAACCTTTTTAACAATCGCCCTTTAGTTTCTCTCGAATATACATTATACATTATACATATACTACATCAAACGAACATGCACAAGTATACCGTGATTCCAAAAACATTTTTTTGAGCGACTGAGATATGTGAAAATGAACTGATATTACCATAAATCACTTTGTGCTCTCAGGCTACAGCTTTAACCCTTGTGCATCCATTAAAAAAGTTACACATAGGTACATAGTGGACAAAAATGTCTGTCATAAAATGTTAAGCTTGGGAGCACAGACTTAAGTTTGGTCTCATTTTAAAGAAGACCTGTGGCAGATTATTGCTGAAGTAAAAAAAAATAATTTAAAAGTAAATCCAAAAAACATTATATAGGTTTAAGTTTATGAAAATGATTTATGATCATTATTTTATATAAAATGTATATTTTATGAAACATGTTGAACTCTAAAACGGCTAGAAAATAAAAGTCATAAATCTAAATAAGTCGTGTTCCAAATTTGAGGATGATATCTCAAAAGATGAGCTTTTGGTAAGAGTTTGTTTAGGCGCAGTAACACATTTTCCCCATTGGGTGCAGCAAAACTCCACTGGTGCACACAGTGATTGGATTTGTTATTTGCAGTTGAGTTTCTTTCTCTCAATATTACAAACACACACACATGCACACACACACATATTTTTTTTATAACACACATACTAACCACACACTGATATCCATACCAACACACCCACACAAATATCGTTCCTCTCTCAATATTACAAACACACACACTTGCATACACACAAATATATATTTTTTTATAACACACATACAAACCACACTCAGACCAACACACCCACACAATTATCATTGCATAATTTATCCAATTTGCTCTATAATATGCCGAAGCAGAAAACAGGAATAAAGCGAGTATTTGCTTTATAGGCCAAACCTGAGAAAATGGCTCCATCTGGAAAAAAAATAGTCAAATTTAAAATTTTGAAGCCTTGCCAACAGAATGAAAGCCTCTTAACAAAGATTGCATCATTTTATAGTTAAATGGCCCAGGGATTAAAAATAGCAGTTTTAATGGGTTTCAATGGGGCCATTTTTGTCCAAAAGGCGCTGAGTGGGAGTATTTTGTGTTACAAGTGCAAAACAGATTTTTTAAGGGAAATGATGGTGAAATAGTAAAATTCCAATAAAAATACACACCTGTACCAAATTTTATGCAGTTAGCATTAACAGCATTAGCATTAGGATTAACACAGGCAAAGCGATAAAAAATGTCCATACGAATGAACAATGTTGATTAAATTCAAGACTTACAGTGATACAAATGATTATTTTTCTGTTCTTGCGCCACTTCTATCCATTTTGGTCATGTGACAGATTGTGAACAAATCTAAAATGCTAAACAAAAGCTAATAATATAAAGTCATTAGCCTCGTTTTATCACCCCATTTTCATTTTTGCTCTTTGCTCAACACAAGTTTGCTGGATTTCACTTTACCCGAGTGTCACACTATCATCCATAGCACATGTGACACCATCTTTCAAACTGGAGCATAAATCTCTTTCAGTTGCTTAAAAATACACAGCAAACTTTTATCTTCCCTTTTTTCTTTGTTTTACGACGTGCCAGAGCTTCCCACGTCAGGCCAAACTGACACCCAGAGCTTGTGTTCCTGCTCTACAAACAATGCTTCATGTCATTCACCTCTGTGAAGATGAAGAACACAATAATGAAGCTTAGATCTAGACCACCTACAATATTACAAAGTCTGTTCTTGAATGCAAGAATGAAAAATGGCCCGGTTTGACAAAGAACCGAAAGACCTGGAAATACATCAATGACACAATCTTGAATGAGTCTGAATGACTGAAGATGACACATTTATATGCACTGTAAATACTTTAGTATTAGCTGTTCTGTTGGAGGATGCAGACCTCTGGTAAAGTCAAGGGTGCTCAAGCTTTGGGCTGTCCCAGCTGGGCATGACCCTTGGCTTTGCCTGTGCGAACGGCCACTTATTTGCGACCCTTGCCTGTCCTCCATCTAGGGGAACCTCTTACTCACAGACCTAGCTTATATTATTGCAAAAGAAGCTTATGTTTTTCTATGCATCTATGCTAGTAAACTTTACAGCGCCGCCCTTACTGGAAATTAGCGTGTCACATTGTTTGCATGCTTGCTGCTGCTTTGCTGTCATAAAAAAATAACTTGACTATAATATTTGCAGATGCAATAGTTTTAGGGTTCATCATGAATATTTAAGAGATGTAAATGTGGCTACCAGAACAATGAGGACACCAATGTTTCCCAAAGAGAGAGTCTTTCTCTGAAGCTATGCAATTGCTCAGCTCAACACGTGAACACATATGATTCTAATTGTATGAATGAATTCATTGTCTTCTCTTACCAAGTTCACAACGACACAGTATTATCATTCATAACAGTTTAGTTATACTCAATCTTCATGAGCAACAACATTACTCTTCCTTTTGCATTTCTGAGAAACTAACTTTAAACCCAAACTTGGATCTGTTCACTTCACACATTACGGTAACACTTTACAACAAGGTC